AGGCAAGGCAAGGCAAGGCAAGGCAAGGCAAGGCAAGGCAAGGCAAGGCAAGGCAAGGCAAGGGTGTCAGCCGTTTACAGGCTGCTTCAGCCTGGGGATCTGCGGATCTTCACCCTGGGAAAAGGGAGGGGAAAAGGGGGAAGGGACCTAAAAACAGAACAGCGGCAACGATCTGAGGAGGAGAGTTAATTTACTGCATGTGATATTGGGATGCAAGACAACACACTGTAATACAATATACAATTGGAACTGAGGCTCATAAATAAAACGAGGAAGAGAGTGTGTATCTGAAATTGAAGGCCTCACTCAGATCTGAAGGCAGAACAGCTGGGGAGCGCACCGACGCATGGCCAGGCAGCGAGAGACAGAGAGAGGAAGAGTGCTGTGATTGCTGTCATGGTTTTGTGACTTTTGGCTTTCGGCATTCCACATCACAACATCACGTGGGGCACTGGGAGTTGAGCTGTTAGTGCTCAAGCCCTGGGTACCTGCCCAGAAGAGAAGGAGAGCTGCATTCCCCGGGGGCTTGGCGGTCAGGGAGAGGAGGTTTGACTGCTGGCAAGGTCTCCTGATGCTCCTTTCTGCCTCCCCTTCGTCGCGGGCGCTGCTCCCATCTCCCTGCGGCTCAGCTGCACTGCGCCTCTCACCTCAGCCTTGTGCTGAGGCTGGTCCACCTTGCAGACATTCTCTCATTATATCTGATTTATTAGCTTCAATTCTGATTATATTGTATTACAGTGTGTTTCTCCTCAGATCATTGCCGCTGTTTTCAATTATTTTGGGGTCCCTGTTTCCCTTTTTTTTCAGAGGCGCAGATCCGTGGATCCCTCCGCCCCGCTGGTCACAGAACCGGGCTGAAGCAGCCCGTAAACCGCTGACATTCTTGGTGGAGAATGCAGGCAGCGAGTTGCTTTGTAGCTTTTTAGAACAAATCTCTGCTCTCGGAGAGCTCCATCGGGAAAGTTTATCTTTTTCACTGGTGCTCACTGAAAACTTGACCTTGAAAGTCCAGGCAGACTGCCAATGTTCCAGCGTTCCTATGATAATTGTAAACTTGGAGCACTGCCATCTTGCTTCTGTAAAGAGAGGAAAAAAATGATCCTGCTTTCTCTTCTAATCCTGCTTGCAGAGGGAGCTGCTAATTTTGCATAACTTGTGATTTTTAAGCAGGCTCCCAGTCTCTCCTTTGAACCCTTTATGCAGTTTTTGAATGCTCACCTGATGGCGTTGTTAATCTCCCTGAATTTACTGTTCTTCATTGCGGTCGGTTTTTGTATTTATTGTATTTTGAGGAAGCCTGCCCCAGAACCAGGGAATTCTGAGTGGCAGGGGGTGTGGAGAGGCTTGGGAGAGACTTCAGAGAGATGGACATCTTCGGTGCCATGGAACTTTTCTCCTGAACACCTGAAAGACCCTGAGAGCTTAAGCATTTATTTGAGACAGGAACGTTGCGGCTCAGGCAGATCTGAGGAGGCACAAATGATTTGGGGCCTGGCTAATGCTGATCGGGCATTATTCAGTAGTATCCCAAAAAGGGAGGGAGCTTGTGAAATAGAGAGAGAGAGTCTGAGAGCTGAGAGGGACAATCTCCGGGCTGAGCGAGAGTCTCCTGGTTGAGAGAAAAGGCCTCCAATCTGAGAGGGATGTCCTCAACTCTGAGAGATGCCCTCCAAAGCGGGAGAGACTCCCTGCAATCCCAGAGAGTCTCCTAGTCGAGAAACAGAGTCTCCAAATCCAAAGGGAGAGTCTCCAAGGCGAGACAGAGAAACTCCGGGTTGAGGAAGAGTCTCCTAGCCAGGAGAGAGAAGCTCAAAACATGGCAGGAGTGTCTCTGAGCTGAGAAGGAAAGTCTCCGAGTCAAAGGGGAGAGTCTCCGAGCTGAGAAAAGGAATCTCCAATCTCGACAAGGTGCCTTCAAATATGGGCGAGACTCCCTTCAGTCCAAACTTAATGCCCTCCAACCTGAACTAAATACTCTCATAGTCGAACAAGACAGACTCCACGCGGAGCTGGACAGTGAGAGCATCGGAACTGGCCAGCCTGACCAAAACCACAGGAGGCACCACCATTGATGTCAGTCGCCCCTGTAAGAGGATGGAAAACGAAACGGATCTCAACTCAGAAGAGAAAAAGAGGAGGAAAGAGGTGGCCAGTGCTCTATCTTTACACTGACTCATGGATGGTACCAAATGCTTATGGCGGTGGTTACAGCAGTGGGAGCAAAATAACTGGCAAAGAAGGGGTAAACCTATTTGGGCTGCTGAACTGTGGAAAGACATTGCTGCCCAAATAAAGGATATGGCTGTAAAGGCGCATCATGTGGATGCTCATGTGCCCAAGAGTCGGGCTACTGAAGAACAGCAAAATAACCATCAGGTAGACCGAGCTGCCAGGATTGAGGTGGCTCAAATAGACCTGGACTGGCAGAACAAGGGTGAATTATTTCAGGCTTGATGGGCCCATGAGACCTCACACCATCAAGGAAGAGATGCAACATACAAATGGGTTGGAGACCGAGGGGTGGACTTAACTATGGATGCCATTGCACAGGTTATTCATAACTGTGAAACATGTGCCATCATCAAACAAGCCAAGAGGATGAAACCCCTCTGGGAGGAAGGGCGATGGCAAAAGTACAAATATGGGGAGGCATGGCAGGTTGATTATATCACCTTGCCACGATCTCGCAATGGTAAGCATTATGTGCTTACTATGGTGGAGGCAACCACTGGGTGGCTCGAAACATATGCAGTACCCCATGCTACCGCCCGAAACACCATGTTGGGTCTGGAGAAACAAGTGCTGTGGCGACATGGCACCCCAGAAAGGATTGAGTCAGATAACGGGACTCATTTCAAAATGCTCCTGTAAATACTTGGGCCAGAGATCATGGCATTGAGTGCATTTATCACATCCCCTACCATGCACCAGCCTCTGGTAGAACTGAACGCTACAGTGGGTTGCTAAAAACCACAAGAGACATCCTCTCTCTCATTATATTTGATTTATTAGCTTCAATTCTGATTATATTGCATTATGGTGTGTTATCTTGTATTCTAATACTGTATTTAGTAAATCAGTTTGTTTTTCCTCAGGTCGTTGCCACTGTTTTCAGTTATTTTGGGGTCCCTGTTTCCCTTTTCCAGAGGCGCACATCCGCGGATCCCTCCACCCCGCTGCTCACAAAGCAGCCCGTAAAGCGCTGACAGCTGAAAAGGACCCAAATGATCATCTGGTTTCAACCCCCCTGTTTTGTGCAGGGTCACCAACCTCTAGATCAGGCTGCCCGGAGCCACAGCCAATGGCAGGAGAAAGAAAGAAGGGCGGAGGGGGGAGCAAGGGGCACAGTGGCTCGGTTGTGGAGGAAACTGGTCGGGGCAGTTTTGCTAGTCTGAGCTGCAGCTGGCTTTTGCCTCCAGGCTGCGCCACTTTCTGACACCGCACAGGAGTTAGAGAGCTTTCTTCCCCACCCAGATGGGGCACTGCGACCGAAATCTCTTCCACTGAAGGACCAGAGAGGAGCTGAGTTGAGTGCACACACCAAGTGATTCTCGGGTAGCTCTGAGCCATGCTGGGTCTGGCTGCAGGCTCCCCGGAATAGCCGAGGCGCTCCTTTTAATCGCTGCCAGTAAGGCAAGACAGAAGCACCAGCTGCACAGAGCCAAGGGGATCCCCGAGTAGGAGCCCACAGCCGAGCAGCAGGCATCCCGAGTGCGTGAGCAGCCTGTGCTTCCTGGGAGAAACGCGGTGAGGGGGTGTTTGAGAACAGCCCCAAGGAGAAACGGGCTTTGAGTCCCTGTTACAGGGGGTTCCGGAGGGATTCAAGGGCCTCCGGGCTCCGTGTTTCCCACAAGTAACATGGTGATTGAGATCCATGGTGCCCACGAGGAGCTGAAGCGCTTGTTGATTGTGCTGCCCTATGGAGGCTGTCGCCGTGGATTTGGTTGTGACCGTGGATGTGCGAGCGCTGCTGCGGCTGCGCCGAGCTGCTTGCTTATTTTTGTCTGCCTGTGGTGGTGAATCTGCATGCTGGGTCAAGCTTTATCTTACTTTTGTAGCTGCAGCAGCGTCTGTGTGTCGCAGTGCGTGCTGAAAAGCATGAAGTGTATTAAAAGTGTTTGTAGGTTGTTGTGATGGGTTGCAGTTTGCAGAACAGATGGGCACTGGAACAAGAAACAGCCCTACCCCACACACTCCCACCCCCCAAAAACCCCCGGCCACAGCTGGCAAGGCGCTCAGAGACAGAGAGAGCCGCTGGAGAGACGCTGCAAAGCCTGCTGTAAAACGGTGCCTCATCTGGGAGGTGGGGAGGAATGCAATGGAAGCAAGAATGCCCTTATCTGCAGGGATCCAGGAAACCCGATAGCCTGCAGGCAGCGGCTGGGAGCCTCCGGGGCTGCAAATGGGACTGGAAAACAGCATTCAGTAGACACCATTGGTTTTTGTATTTAGCAGGGGTTTCATTGATTGAGACTGGAGGAACTAGAGGATAAAATGAAGTTTTAAAATGGGGATTTTCATAGGCAGGGGAGCTGCCTGCAAGATCAGAGAGAGCTGAGCCAGGGGGAGAAGCCTGGGAAAGGCACAGGCCGAGGCAAGGCACAGGAGAGAACAAACTGAGAAAGCAAAGGAAAGAAAGGAGAAGGATAGAATCAAGAAATTACTGGCGTTGGCCATAATGCAGGGGAAATGAAAGAAGGATGGTGGGAACAAAGAAAAGGATATTGAGGTACAACAGAAATGCTGGAGCCAAGAAGGCAGACTGTAAGGCCAGAGAGCTCAGAGCAGTGGGAGTCAAACGTTTCTGCGTTTGGATTAGAAAACTGTTTTCTATTTTTTATGTCATGGTCTGCACTGCCATGGTTCTTTCTGGGAGTCTTTCCACTATACTTGGGAGGGGAATCTCTGATTGTTTGCATCATTTACCCTCTAGATGAACCTTCCCCAGGAACGCACGCTCCATGGGTCTGCATGCACTTGGCGTCACCCACTGTGGGTCTGCATGCACT